GTTCAACTTACTCATAAATGATCTTGGAAAAACAGTGAGGTGGCAACATTTGCAGATGATACAAAATTACTCAAAATAGTTAAGTCCAAAACTGACTCAAGAGTTACAAAGGGATCTCACAAAACTCAGCAACTGGGCAACACATAGGCAGACAGAATTCAATGTTGATACCTGCAGAGTCATACACATGGAAAAATACAATCCCAACTATATATTATACAAAAATGATGGGGTCTAAAATAGCTGTTACCACTAAAGCAAGTGATCTGGGAATCCTTGTGGATAGTTCCCTGAAAACATCTGCTCAAAGTGCAGTGGCAATCTAAAAAGCTAATAGAATATTGGGGTTCATTAGGAAAGGAATAGTTAATGAGACAAAATAGATGGCCTCTATATAAAGTCATGGCATGAATACCTGGTTCCCCACGATTAGGGGCAAGGAGCAGCTTCCATATGAGGAGAAATTAACAAGACTGGGACTTTTCAGCTTGGAAAAGAAATGACTGAAAGGTGGGAGGATATGTTAGAGGGCTAGACAGTCATGAATGGTGTGGACTAATAGAATGAGGAAATGTTATTTATTCCTTCACTAACAAAATAAGAAGCTCACCCAATGAAATGTATAGACAACAGATTTAAAACAAATAAAACTCATTACTTCTTCATGGCCAGCCTATGGAACTGTTTGCCAGAAGCTGGGAATGGGTGACAGGGATGGATCATTTGTTGATTGCCTCTTCTGTTCATGCCTTCTGAAGCACCTGGCATTGGCCACTGTCAGAAGACAGGACACTGGGCTAGAAGAACCATTGGTCTGACCCAGCCTGGCCGTTCCCAAACTTGTGGTTCCCAAACTTTTCAGCATCACACCCCCTTTCTGATTTTTGAGAAACCCTTTCCTCCCCCTAAAAAAAATAGCAGCAAAACTTGTTGAGAAAAAAAAGGGAACTGACCAGGGACAAAAAAAAAAAGCAGCAAAACTTGGGGGGGGGGGGGGGGGGGGGGCTAATTCTGCCCAAAGTGATGGGATAAGGCAGCTATTAAAAGCTGCATTTCAATCCACAAACTCCCCCAGGAGGACATGCCCCCCCCCAGTTTGGAAACCCATGTTATATACAGACCAAATGTATCTGTCCCCTGCTGTAACCCACTAGACCGGGGTGGTGAACCTCAGGCCCGGGGGCTGAATGCTGTCCCCAGCTTGCCTGGATCCAACTCCCAAGGCTCAGGCCCCCCTGCATTGGGGAGCTTGTGCTGGTGCTCCAAACCCCCTGCTATCCCACCACAGGACTGGAGCACACAAAATATACTAGGCCAGGCATTCCTAGGCTCTGGTGTGTGAGAAAAATGGGAGTGTCTCTCCTTCTCAACTGGGCGCCATGTCAGTGAGGAGTTTTTTTGTGTGGCCCTCGACTGATTTTTCTGAAGGTCAGCGGCCCCCACCCAAAAAAGGTTCCCCATCTCGTAAATAACAACTATGCAAATAAAATGTTACCTGTCTGCTAACCCACTCACCCCGTCTTATCACTGTGCATTCTTCTACCTCCAACCCCAGAACCCTCTGACCCTGTCCAGCCAACCCTGGTACCCTGACTCTCTGTATTATTAACCCTGCCAAACCCATCATCTGCTATCCCCTAGATCCCACTAACCCCCCATTACCTCACAAGTCTTGCCAAGCTTTGAGTTCCCCTGACCAGGACTGGCCTTACCATGAGCCCAACTGAGGCGGCCGCCGCAAGGGCCAGACTGTGGGGGAGCTCACTAGGACCCAGAGAATTTAGATCTTTCAAAGTTTTGGCCCAAGCGAGGCGGTATGGGGGGCTGTAACTGTTACCCCCTTTGTCCCTCCCTGAGTGGGGTCAAAACCCCGCACAGGGGCTGGCAACACCCCCCCAGCTAAACTCCAGCTTCTCTCCCCGCAGCCTGATTTCTCCCCTCCAGCCCCTCTTCTGCCTCATTCCCCCCCAGGCCAGTAAATTCCTGCCCCTGCTCATTCCCCACTGAGCCCCTTTCTCGTGCTTGCAAAGAGCCGGGAGCAGCGCCTGGATGCAGTGAGGGCAGCAGTCACAGTAGCTGCTACTGAGCATGCTCCGAGCGGGTGCGCAGGCGCAGTACGCCCCAAGTAGCGCATTGAGAGACGGAGCCGAGGGCGGGGCTTCCCCGGGGCAGCGCAGCGCCTGG